TAAATCTGCCATATTCTTTCCTGTCTGGACAGGACACATGCTGCAGCTGAGTAACTAAATCTGCCATATTCCTTCCTGTCTGGACAGGACACATGCTGCAGCTGAGTAACTAAATCTGCCATATTCCTTCCTCTCTGGACAGGACACATGCTGCAGCTGAGTAACTAAATCTGCCATATTCCTTCCTGTCTGGACAGGACACATGCAGCAGCTAAGTAACTAAATTTGCCATATTCCTTCCTCTCTGGACAGGACACATGCTGCAGCTGAGTAACTAAATTCGCCATATTCCTTCCTGTCTGGACAGGACATATGCTGCAGCTAAGTAACTAAATTTGCCATATTCCTTCCTGTCTGGACAGGACACATGCTGTGGCCAAGTGACTAAATTTGCCATATTCCTTCCTCTCTGGACAGGACACATGCTGCAGCTAAGTGACTAAATCTGCCATATTCCTTCCTGTCTGGACAGGACACGTGCTGCAGCTGAGTGACTAAATTTGCCATATTCCTTCCTGTCTGGACAGGACACATGCTGCAGCTAAGTGACTAAATTTGCCATATTCTTTCCTGTCTGGACTAAATCTGCCATATTCCTTCCTGTCTGAACAGGACACATGCTGCAGCCAAGTGACTAAATTCGCCATATTCCTTCCTCTCTGGACAGGACACATGCTGCAGCTAAGTGACTTAATTTGCCATATTTTTTCCTGATCGAAGTGAGTAATCTTCAAATAAAGTGACCATCCAAATAATTGAAGTTGATATTGAGTTTTATTAACTCTTTGAGCACCATTTTTCCAAGCAAGATTGTGATAATTTTCTATTCTCGGCAGACATCCAGTCATTTTCATTGCCTGGCAACCATCACAGGTGAAAACAATAGCTGAAGCTCCCACATAGCCCAGGATTACATTGTACAGTGACATGTCCAAGCAACTTAGAATGTTCTGTGATGTAACTCCACCCTCCAAAATAGGTTGCAATTCATGATTACAATTTGAGGAAAATTGTATGGGTTTAAAATTTGTAAATGGTGTCAAAAGTTAGGGTTAAACTCTTTAAACTCAACTGGTCACTGGTAGCATAGTGGTTGTCGCATCAGACTCATGATTGATAGACACAAGTTCAATCTTACTTTAGGCTGAACATCAAAGGGTCGACCCCTACCCTGGGTGAGTGTGCCACAGACTCGATGGAAAGGCCAATTCCACTGGCCGAGATTCATTCAACGAATGCGACTTTGGGGGAACCTTGGTTAAGATCCGCAGGTACTTGTGTTCGACCGAGCCTGGTTGACGCCAGGATAGTGCATAAAAATTGCTATTTGACAGAGAGATTGCCACACAGCCCTGTCATGTAGTCCCAAACATGAATATTACTTCTGTGGCAAAATGCACTATGTGTCAGCCCTAGCACTTGCAATTTGCACATACTAAAAAAAGTCAGGAGAGACAACAGTGACACTCAATGTCCAGAACTGTCGCCTGGCAAAAAAATAAACACTTTTGTCATGCTATGCAGATGAGTTCTTCCTTAGCGTATTCATGTGTGTCACATTCAGTGAGTCATAATGTAAGTGAGCTTGCTGCACTGCTATTTAGAAGTGTAATACTCAAGTTCTTCATTGGAAATACCATGGTGTATCTTGTGATTTATTTTCTGATTACCAAATCTCAGAGGTGTAGTTTGTAGTCAAGACACAGTGTTCATTGACGCAGCTTTGCAAAACAAATCAGTATTTTACTGTGATCATCAAAGATGTCTGGAGAAAAAACAGAAACATTTTTTTAATATATGCTTTTCAGACTCTGATAATGCATATCACTTCCTCATTGTTAGCGCCAATGTCGGCTTTTGTTCCCATTGATAACAATTTTTCCATCAAGACCTGTACGAAATGTTCCATTATGTTCATTTGGTCAAAAAATGAACAAAATAATTCAATAAATATACCTAAAAATGAACAAAATGTTGCACCCAAATTGTTGGCGGGTAAAATTATTGTATTCAAATAATATTTAATACATTCGTTACACTGGAAAGAGAATATTTATGAACATTTACTTCATCTTGTCAATTTCTATTATGTTTTGATTGTAATATGTCTAGTGTCATCTCTCTCAGACACAATCTGGCGTCACATGTTGAGGAAATAACTTCAGGTGAATATGTTGTCTAGTTAGGTTATTACCGCCTGGTTTATACAGGACATAATAATGAGATATACATCTACGACATGCTTGGGATCAGCTACACCGTAGAGCAGGTTTTTTCAAGTGGTGTAAATTTGATGAATCTGTAATCTCATGCATGATCTAGCTTTTTATAGTTTCCATACATGTACACGTATCTAAGACTTGTTTATTCATGAGATTATGCAGTTACCTTTAGGTGAATGAAATGACCTGCCATTCCTATCGCTATATTGGTTATTAATGTTGTGTTCTCATCTTATGATTGGGGAGGGGGCACTGATTAAATAAGAAATTATTATAATAGTTTGTGGAAAAATCTAAAATTATCTAATTGTTTATAATGATTTTTGAAAGTCTCAATCCATCAACACTGCAGGTTTACTAATTTGCATATTCTTGAAGGTACCCTAGGGTGTCCATATTTGGAAATTGTATGATATCATGACTACATTTTCAGGTGATTTGTACCTATTGTGTTTCCTTGGCCCTGAATCTGCATATTACTGTGATATAAAAATTGCTATTGAATCAGACATAATATAAGGTTAAAACTGAATAATGAAATCATAATCATTGTATGTATCAATGTTTGATGTGAGAAGGTCAGGCAGGGTATTCAGCACTTGTACAATGCAGCAACCTTCCATATACAGAAAAGTATTAAAAATAAATTTAATTGCAAACATAATAAGTAAAATAATTATGCAAGATTTTGTACAGTTCATTGGTTATGCCAACTGTTTGAAACATCCATATAAAATTATTGTAAAAAAGATCAGTATCATTTGTTTAACACATTGCCTGTCGGCTGTCAGTGGAGGCTATTGGCAGGTAATACAATGTACCTATGACTTTTATAAAAAGTGACACTCAGTGGGGGGGGGTGTAAGTTTAATATTGTCTGACAGCAAAATATTTTGTGAATTGTTTCTTTCTTTTAGCATGCTCTTGTATGTTATCGTTATACTGCATTCACCACGAATTATATTTAAATAAAAACACAATCAAAAATGTTCTGCATATAAATGAATGTCAAACTATTTGACAGGTACAAAATGTACATGCAACGCATGTAATCAAGATCATAGCCTAGATCATTGTAAAATATGTTAAACTAGTTATGTGCTATTTTAGGTAATTTGTCTCATTGTTTGAATTAACATAATCCTAATTTAGCCAGATAATCTAAAATAACAAGTGAGCTTAAAATACATGTTTTATAGTGTATATTAGTTGCGTTCACGCACAGCTCCTTAGCACGGGC